ATTTTCCTTATGACTTTGATAGCATTCAGCAATGTTGTGCAAACTTCAGGATTTCTGAAACTATGTTCAACATCAACAGACAAGGATATCTTGGCAATGCATAGGATAAAACGGCATACTGAGTGTGATTGGGAACTTCTCAGCAGTGATCACTGAGCATTTATCAAAATATTGATATACTGTATCTGTTGTAGAGAAAACTCTTGTGATTCTCAGTGAAGGAAAACTATAAATGAGCATATTATATATTCCTGAAACAAGATCTGACAATGCCCAAGTTGTCTTTGATATACACATTTTTACTATATATCCAATTTTTTGTGGGGTAACTGTGAATCAATGAAACCCTTCAAGTCCTTGGAATATAGCTTGAGATTTCCTATCTTTGTTACTATAAGCGTCAGAATAGGATAGTTTCATCAATAAAATTATATTACTCTTTGATCAATTCAGAAAATCACCTTTAGCAAGATTTCAGGATGTGTCATTGCTATTTTCTACACTAGACACAAAATAAAGTTAATGGTGGCCTTTTCAGTTTATGAAATGGAAAGCCTTGTGTATTTGGCTTTTACAGCTTAGTGACCTTCTACCTATTTATAACTGAAATCAAGATTCTTCTAAATGGCCTTGAAATATATATGGTAGGGAGTAAGGGGAGTTAAGAACAAAATTTTGGTAGATTAACAATGATATGTGTAGCACTTTATTTATACAGACACCTGTTCATCATCAACTTTTTCATATTTGATTTTAGTCATTGAACAGCAATCTTGTAGGAGTAGCTTATACCCACTGCTCATGTGGTCTGAATCTAAAGTGCTGTTCTTTGGGTTACAGGCTAATATTCCAATTGGCAGAAGTATGAGCTATTTAACAGTCTGCATCACCATTACTAATAAAACAAGCCTAGTCTAGCTGGTGGCAGCATCTAACCCAACTTTGCTAATCTTGTAAAATTAAGCATGCTGGACCTGGCTACTCCTTGGATGGGAACTCACCTGAAAAACTCAGGTCTTTAGGTAACACTAGAAAGCTGAAAACCCTTAAGGTAAATCCATATAGAAAGCTACTTCTATACAGTCCCTGAGAAAACTATATGGGGAGCAGGATGTGAAATTATCAAAGACAAGCTCAATTTGAAAACTTTACCTAATTCTGCCCACTGCCAGCAGTTCAATTATCACCAGCTCAAGGTTGACTCAGCTTTACTGAGGTCAGTAAAAAGAGGACCCAGATTGTTGCGGCAATATGTGAACTGCTTAGAGAGGGCTGAAAAACACAATGAAGTAGTATATAACAGGGCTTTTCAACCTTTTCACCCATTGTACCACTTTTAGGATATGGCAACATCCGAGTACAACCAGTCGCCTAGCAAGGTGTCAAAAACTTGATGACCCCCCCAAAATGAAAAAAGTGATAAAGTACAGGTAGTCCTCGACTTACAACAGTTTGCTTAGTGACTCTTAGAAGTTACAACTGCACTGAAGAAAGTGCCCCCCAAGCCACAGCCGAGGAAGATACCTGTCTGCCCACCCGGCGACGCTCTTCCTCCTGTCCGAGGTTTTCATTGTTGTGAACATTTCTGTTGAGGATTGGCAGCAGGGGTGGGGTTTGGCTTTTATTCCCCCTGTCTGCGGGGTGGTTGCAGCAGGTTTTGGTCACTTCACATGACCCTGGGACACTGTGACTGTCATAAATATGAATCAGTTGCCAAGCAATTGAATATAAATCACAAGACCCTGGAGATGCTGCAACATTCCAGCTGATCGGCGCTTCTTCTGGGCTCAGCAGAAGTGCCAGGATCAGTGCCGCTTTCCAACTGATTGGTGCTTCTTCAGGGCTCAGCAGAAGCACCAGGATCAGCACCAAGTTCCAGCTGGAGCCTGGCACTGATCCTGGCGCTTCCACTGAGCCTTGACACCCTGAAGAAGCACTGATCATCTGGAAAGCGGCACTCATCCTGGCACTTCTGCTGAGCCCTGACAGCCCTGCAGCTCCAGCCATCTCTCGCTTAGGCTTGTGCGGTGCTGCCACCGGTTCAGCTCATTCCCCTCCCCCGCTACTTTTCTAGGATGGTCACGTACCACCTGCCAGGTGCCAATGTACCACAGGTGGTACCCATACCACTGGTTAAAAAGCCCTGGTATATAAGTCTAAGTCAGGGGTCTTCAAACTTGGTCCTTTTATGACTTGTGAACTTCAACTCCCAGAATTCCTCAGCCAGCGTGTCTGGCTGAGGAATTCTGGGAGTTGAAGTTCACAAGTCATAAAAGGGCCAAGTTTGAAGACCCCTGGTCTAAGTGCTATTGCTATTGCTTTACAACTTCAACTCCTATAATTCCTGAGCCAGCATGCCTATTCCTGCCTTAAAGCAAACCTTCATTTTCAAATATTTTCATATGAAATATTTCATATGAAATAATTTTAGATTTCATATATAGAATCGTATAAATTATGACCAAGAAGATGCCAGCTGTATTGCTTCATGATTCTACCGCTTGAAGAAAAGAATGATGTAACACAATATTCTTGAATAGTTCTATTTAGGTTGTAATGGCAAATATTATACAAACTATGTAAAATATTTACTGACACTGCTATAGAGCATTGAGAACACTAAAGAAGTAGCAAAGTAAGAGAATAACTTGGATTATTCTATGTGTTCAGACATGATTTGATTAACTATAGTTTGTTGAATAAGCTATACTTAACACAGTCAATAACAAACCACATTGTGATTGAATGCAATCTGCAAACTAATCAATCAAGCAAACCATTTATATCTTGTTTGCATGTGATATATAAACTAAGAATGATTCTTTATTCAGTTTCTACTGAATGAAATGCATTCATTATTAATTTTTATATGGAGACTAAATTAATATTTAATTGGTGGTTATTTGGCCACTGATCAACCAGACTGTAATGGAAACTTGATTACAATTTTTTTTTCCTGAAGAGAAATTAAAATATTTATCCACATTTCCTATCCCCAAAAATATTTTCTAAAGTTACTGTTCTTATTTTCTTCCTCTCTGCCTTTTCTTTTGAAATAACGGAATGCAGCCGAGGCAAGCAAAATGAGTTGATGGCACAAAGTGTAGGAGAATTATGGACTGTGAATGTGGTTCATGAGCATTTTTTTAAAATTTACATTTTCATTCATTTCCTGGCAGATGGCAGCAAGTCATCTGCAACTATGAGTATCTCTTCAAAGGGAGAAAAGTAAACCTCTCCCTGTTAACAGCTGACTGCCTCTGGGGGATGGAAGACTTTGCTCTTATTTTACTGTACATATATTCAAAGCAAACCTCTCAACCTAATATTTATACAATTTGGGCCAGACCCATCAGTTGCTGAAAGAGAAGAATCAGAGGAGATCAAGGGAAAGGAGAATCTAGTTTTCTATTGCTGCCTTTGATAAGTGCTCCCTCTAGTATATTTTACAGCATTTTAGACTCTGCATCTTTAATATAAAAATTCTTCCATGTATCCCTGTGGCATGTGACCCTGCATTTTATAATTCCATGATGGAGACCTTTTCTTGCACATGTAATATGTCACAGAATGGCTAGTCAGGATTGAATCTGGTGTGATTATCTTAAGAAATTTACCCCTTATGAGATTTACAAGATACAAGCTAGATTAGTGTTTCTCAACTTCAGCAACTTTAAGGTGTATAGACTTCAATTCCCAGAATTCCCCAGCCAGCATTGAACTCCACACATCTCAAAGTTGCTGAGGCTGAAAAAATACTAAGCTAGATGAGCTCCATCTCCAACTTTCCCTCAAAGGTGTACTCTGTCCAATGTTGATAATATTCCGTAAGCTTATATTATTCCAGCGACTCTTGACTTCTAGATGTCCTGAGTGGGGCATTCATCCCTACCTTTAAGTTTGGGATTTTATGCTTATATCCTTTTTAATTTTGTGTATTGTTGTATGCCTAGAATTCTTTAGGATTGAGTATATCATAAGCATTGCAAATAAACAAATAAATGCAAACAAATGATACATTCATTGTTATAACTAGATTTACAAAAAGTAAGAAACCATTAGTGAGATCTTTTCTGCAAGGGGAATTGTAACTCACTGTATATCTAATATCAGAAAAGGGACTCAATGAAAATCCTAGGGTACCTTCAGTGGTGGGATTCAAATATGTGAACAACCAGTTCTCTACGTGGATGCCGCTTCCGGAAGTCCATTCTGGGCCTGGGCAACAAAAAATTAGCTACTGGTTCTGCTGAAATGGTGCAAACCAGCTGAATCCTACCATTGAGTAGCTTCCATAAGCAAGGAGCCCTAGGCTCAAAGCCACATTCAATAGTACGTTCATTGAAGAGACTATGAGACAATGTTAGAAATCTCCAATGCCTGACTTGATTTGTATGGGGAATTTTATTCAGTAACTCAATGATCACTAACTTGCCTGAAGTTCTTGTCACTGTTCACTGAAACCTAATGAATTACTAATTAAAGCATCTCCTCATTAAAGTTCACATGCATCTGTCCATGATCTGTCTTGATTCTCTGAAGTTGCACTATTTGTATGGTGGACCTCTTAAGCAAATAAGCTAGAGCTGATGGCCTGCTGAAGATGCCAACTGCTTCTGGATGTTCTGAGGCGTTCCTTCTCCACAGTGGAGAAGGAGAGGAATTTCACTTTGCCTAATCACTACCAGGCGAGTAGCCACTTAGAACTGAGAATCCTTAATAGTTGTTGATCTGCACATCCTTAAGTTTGGATGTTATTTGTTTTGTACACTATGGTAAATGGGCTAGAGAGATCTGTGGTACTTGCAGCTCCCAACAGTCTTAAATATATCAAGATGACTAAGAAGAGTGAAATATGTAGACTTACTTCATATAGAGGTAGAGATAGGAAGGGAGATAAATAGGGAGGTAGGGAGATAGATACACAGTCAGAGAGAGATGTAATATTATTTTGATAACTTTATTTTGTTTTATAAAATGTATTTTTATTTTCTTCCCAGTGAAAATTGCAAATACATGGTATTTCCAACAAAGAACATTATAGACATGGATAAAAAGCAGCAAATAGTAAAAAAGGAGTTTGGGAAGAGATTCTCCCTGGACAGCAGACTCATGGTGAGCATAAAAATATTTCTGGGCTTCTAGATTTGTCTGTGTGTATGTCTGTGTGTGCTAATGGTTCAGCTTTTTCAAAATTTACATAATGTTAGTAAATTAAATACGTATTGACATCTTAAATCCCATTGATTTTAGGGAGGCCAGTTCTAAACTCAGCAATGTGCTACCCATGGTGCCTCTGCCCTTAAATACTAATCCCCAAAGCAAATAAAAATAAATAAATCAAAACGGTTGCTGGATGGGATATCAGAAGATCACTTAATCTCATGAGATCCCATGGTAGGCCAGATTGCCATAATAAGATTGCTAAACCCATGAGATTTAGCAGCTTCACAACATCTCAGTAAATTAGTTAATTGTTTAGTTACTTTTTAAAAGACATGTTTGTTTTCATGTTCTGTGCAAAGTTCCTAGATAACATCTCCCACTTGAAAAATTGCTCACTCCCAGTTCATGACTCTGACCCATCCCACTGTGAGGAGAAATTGCAAGAGATGTTTGCTGACCTACATTTAAGTAGACATTAATGCATACCGTGCAACTCAGCTGTGAATGGTGCTAATAATGATGCTCTAAATCAGAATTTCAAGAGAGAAAAAACAATCATGTTTTGTTCAATGACATTGTATCAACCTGCTGTAAAGAAATGAACGGTACCTTTTTATTCCTAAAGAAAGATATGGATAATCTTTGGTGTTAGCTGCCTTTTGTTGGCAAACTTGGGCTGGGTCGTTTTATGGGAGAATGACTCTGTATATGTCAGTAATGATTTTGATAGTGGAGGACAAAGGTGGAATCTAAAATCTTATTTATTGAATTCAATGTGTATTTTTTGGTCTGCTTCACGCATGATATTTGAACATGTAAGGCATGTGCAGTGGACCTGTGAATAGCTTGCTGCTTTCTACTGTATATCTGCTTGGCAACAATTCTATTTGTGGTCTCCTGTGATGCTCTCTGAGTTAGCACTCATGATGTTACCTAGTTGACTAATGAAACTTCTGCAAGAAAACAACCAAGCTTAGAGGGGACACCAGGCAACCCTACAATTCAACCCTGAGTTACAAATATTCTCTTTTATTTGTTCTATTTGTGTTCAGTATCTACACCAGGGGTCTTCAACCTTGACCCTTTTATGACTCGTGGACTTCAATTTTGGGAGTTGAAGTCCATGAGTCATAAAAGGGCCAAGGTTGAAGACCCCCGATCTACACAGAGGTTCGTCTGAATGGTATTTGGTGTTAAGTCAGTAGTGTTCTGTTCTGTTGAATGCTGAAACTCCCTCACTTATTATCTAAATGAGATATATTTAAGCTATGCCTCACTCTGCAAGCATATACATGTTTCTACATTGCTGTTTAAAAGAAACATCCATTTGCACATAATCATTGTCAAACTCTGAAGCAAACAGAGAAACATCCCTTTGAGTTGTCAGCACATCCAATCTCAAGATGTTTTCAAAAAAAAAAATCACAATATTTGGGGGGGGGATGGGAGTGGGAGAGCCCTGGGAAACTAGCCCAGAGCTTTGAGACACGCTTTTAAATTAATGGGTTCCTTAACAGACTGGAGGAAAAAATATATGCAAAATTCTTTTTAAGTCGTGTCATGTGAGTGTTCTTTGGAAGAGCATTCAAGGTGGAGCTGGATGTTATCACAATGCTCCTGAGAATTACAGCACGTTCTGACATTTTTCTTGCTCGATGTAATGGCTGGAATATGGATAACACTGTTGAATGTATTGTCAGCAGAGCAAGCTTCAGCCAAGTTAGTGGGATGCACCTGAATCTAAAGAAAGAGGAGTGAGGCAATAAGAAAACTTCAAATCCCCAGCAATCCCAACACAGCTTCCTTCATATTTGGGGAACTGCAGCCCAGTTCTACTTGCATTGGGAATTGGTTGGCTTCCAAAAAGCAACAGTAGAGTCTTTTCTTTTCTTTTTCTTTTTAAAAGTCAGTGTTTCATATCACAGCTGGCGCGTAGAGTGAATTTTCAAAGCACAAATGTGGGAAGGTCATATGAATTTTTTTTGCTGGTGATGAAATCAGATAGTCCTAGACAGTATGGAAAGGAGAGGTGACAGTATGGAAAGGAGGGTGTCTCCTTTCTGCATCAGTAATAGAGCTGTTCCAGCAGGAGAGATGATGAAAGGATGAACTTTCTGCCTTTCGGTCTCAGTCAACACAATCTACACATACACATACAAACATATTTTTCTCTGAAGAGATTGATTTTGGTCCCAGAAAAAAAAAAGTTGGTCAGCACCAGCATCATCAGTAGTTCCAGTCTTGGCCTAAAGTAGGGGTCCTCAACCTCGGCAACTTTAAGACTTGTGGACTTCAACTCCCAGAATTCCTCACCCAGCTTTGCTTTTCTGGCTGAGGAATTCTGGGAGTTGAAGTCCACAAGTCTTAAAGTTGCCGAGGTTGAGGACCCCTGGCCTAAAGGAAGATCTGTGGAATTAACAGCAGCAACAACATCATAGGAGAGTGAATAGGGATTTTCTTTCACCTCCTCAGGGCTTCTTTCTACTGAGATATTTTAATAAGTGAATATTTGCTTTCAAAAGCAGAGAAATTCAGAGCAGAAAAGTTAAGAACACAACAAGGTGATATGCTGATCTTGCTTTGGCGTACAAAGGATGATTGCTCAGTCAGCTTTCTACCTAGCTTTGGCTATGTATATTGTAGAATTTGAGAGAAAGCTGTATAGTCACATTATTAATATATTAATATATATTATTGATATTATTAATAATAATATTATTAATACATTTGTTTATCTGTTTAGAGATTGCCTGACTTCCCAAGAGTCTTGATGACTTACAGCATAAACAATAGAATGGTAAAAACAAAATTAAAGAAAGTGTACTTCTTAAGTCCCAATTGATAGCATTGTTTAATGAGAAGGATGAATACTGTAGACCTGATGTGCTTCCTCTCTGCCTAATCATAGAAGGGTTAGGTGCTTCATCAAATAGTCAGCTCCTATGACATGAAAGTCTTTATATGTTGCAACCAGCATCTTTAATTGTTCCCGGAAGCTAACTGGCAGCCAATACATCTTCTACAACATGGTGTCATGTGGGCATATTTAGACATGCCCATTATTGTACTGCCTACCCTGCCACATTCAGTAGCTTCCAACTGTTCTTCAAGTTCAGGCTTATAGACACCACATTGTAATAGTTCTCTCTAAAGATAACCAAGCACAAAAGACTCTTTGGAGGGCCTCTTGGTCCAATAGCAGACAGAACTGGTGCACTGGATGCACTGATATTGCTTAGTTAGTTTAATCATGAAATGACTGCAAAAAGACTACCAAGCTCACAGAGCATCAAGGACCTCATGGCACTAGATGAATCTGTGTGAAGGCCTTCTTGGCTACTACTGCCAATTGCTTTTGAGCAGGACCTCAAAACTCTCCTAGATAGTGCACTGGTTTTCAATGGGGAAATGCTATCTCATCCAAGACTACAGACACTGTAGAAAGTTCCCAGAGTTGAAAAGGCCAAATACCTCTAGACAGTTGCTCTTGTCAGGATTGATTTGTGTCTATTCATCCCCATCCAATCTCTGAAAGCTTACTGATACTGGGACAAGGTATCAACAGCATGCTTTGGGCAGTTGGGGGGGGGGGTCAGGATATATAATTGAATATCATCAGAATACTGGAATCTGAACTGATAGATGGCCTCCATTAGTGGTTTCATGAAGAATGTAAATGGAAGGGATAAGACCAACAAGCTCTGCACCTCTTAGGCACTGCACAAGTGAAGGGTTGCTGGCTCGGCCCCTTTCCCCCTGTGATCTTTCCCCTCAACTGGAACCAACCAGAGAATCATTGCTACATGGCATCTTCCACTCTCAATCACCAAAATCATTGGTTCAGAAAGATGCTATGATCAAAAGCTGCCAAGAGACCAAGGAGAACCAGGATAATTCACAACCCCATTTTAATTTCAGCAAAGGCCATTGACAAGCTAAATCAGTGTCATCTTCATATTGTGCCCTGGTCTGAAACCTCACTGAAAGGTCTAGAATAATCCATTTCCTCCATGATTCACTGGAATTGCAGTTCAATCACCTTCTCAACCATCTTCCCTAAAAAGAAAAGGTTGGAGAATGGACAAATTCTTTTCTATTGTTTTTTTCTCTCCCCCTCTTTTTCACTCCCATAAACAATTTAAGCTACTCCTGCAGACACATATTTTTTCATCACCCCATCCATACTCTATCCCTTCTTCTACTCGCTTTCCTATTTTACAATTTGTTTAAATACAATTTACCCTCATTGTGTTTTTAACACAATTGCCTCTAGAATATAGTATTTGAAAACACACTTTTCTAGCTGAGAAGAACAGATGGCAGCTGACTCCTCTGCTTGCATTATCTGTGTTGTGATACTTCAGTGAATTGCAGTATTTCAGGATAAAATAAACCCATGACAGATTTTTATATCCCTAGTGGAATTCAGTAAGTGGGAAAAAAATGTCTCCAGCATGCCATTGCAGGCATATTCAACTGCCTTTTTTTGCTCTCAACCAGAACAGTGCATATTTTCCCCCATGAATAGAACATATTAACGTAAAACCATCTTTAATCCATCCATTATTATTTTTTTCTGAGTGGTTATTAGCCTTGAGATCCAGAACGTAGTTGGACCATTTGTCATTGTCCTCAGGGGTTCCAGTCAAGTATAATGGAAGTTGTGGTCAACTTATTTTTGGAACCATTCTCACATCTCTTCTGCATTGATAAAGGCTTTCTGTTCAATGTGTCTGATATGAGGCATTCATTGAAATTAGCGGGAGGGTAACAAAGTGTATTTCTAGTTCTAAAGTTGTAGTTAAAAGCATGACTTCATAAAGTCTGGCTCCATATATTATTTTAGAAAAGGGCCCTCGCTCCCCATCAGAATGCAGTTTTAAAAATAGCCTCCATACGGGTATGTAAACTTTTTCATCTTCTGCTTTTACATTCGCATGAAAAGTACG